AATAGGACATACGATAGAATAAAACTTTTTACTTCATGGCCAGGAATGAAACAAGAGTTAGAAGATTATATTAGACGGTGTGAAATTTGCCAAAGGAACAAAATTACGCAAAACAAGACAAAAATGCCATTGCAGATCACAACAACTCCGGATGTGGTTTGGGAAAAATGTTCTTTGGATATTGTTGGTCCCTTAACTCTAACATTAGAAGGAAATAAATATCTGTTGACATTTCAAGACGAACTATCAAAGTACACGATAGCCATTCCTATCCAACAGCAAGACGCTGAAACTGTTGCCAAAGCCTTTGTGGAAGAAATTGTGTTGAAATTTGGAATACCACAGACAATCCTTACGGATCAAGGTTCCAATTTTCTTAGCGAACTTTTTGCTAATATTTGCAAACTATTGAAAATTAAGAAAATAAAAACCACAGCGTATCATCCCCAGTCTAATGGAGCCCTGGAACGCACACATAGAGTATTAGTGGAATATCTCCGTTGTTTCATTTTAGAAGATCAAACGAACTGGGATCAGTGGATCTCATATGCCACTTTTGTATTTAACACTACACCACATACTGCTACAGGATTCACCCCCCACGAACTTCTGTTTGGGAGAAAGCCTAACGTACCAGGCATATTGCAAAAGGAACCTCCCGAAGTTCTATACACATATGATAATTACGTCAAGGAATTACAATCTCGATTACAATCCAGTTACGACTTAGCCAAAAATAATTTGATAGCAAAGAAAGAACGCAGCAAGGAGTATCATGATAAGAACGTCAATGTTCCGTTATTTACAGTTGGAGACAAGGTCTTGCTACATGATGAGAAGGTCAGAAGAGGCAGATCATTAAAGTTGTCTCCCCCTTGGATAGGACCGTACGAAGTTACGGAAGTAGAGGACGTAAATGTTACGTTAAAATTACCAAGAAACAGAACACTCAAGGTCCACGCAAACAGACTGAAACCATTCTTTGACTGATTACAGGACAATGACCGCCACCCACAGACTCTGGACCGTCTGCTTAACACTGATATATCTGAAGCAAGTGCTCGCCCTCGACGCGACCCTAGTAAGATACAACGAATCGCCGGGACTTTACTACGAGCGATTAGGAGAAGCACAGCTGTACAATACAGAATGGAAAATTATCACTTACGTCAACCTTGACGAAGCCGACAAGAATTTAGATGCTGTTAAAAAGTACGCCAAAATGTCCATTGACTTTTGCAAAAACCATGAATTTACTTTCTGGGTTAACTTTACTGACTGCCGGAAATCCATTCAGTTTATTGAAATAAAAATTAAGGAAGTAGAAAACTTGAAAATGTTAGTTAGGCAATTAACTAGGAATGAAGAGAAAATTAATTATTCACGTGCAAGGCGTGGAGTTTTCAATTTTATAGGAGGAATCAGCAAAATACTCTTTGGTACAATGGATAGTGAAGATGCCTCTTATTATACTGATAAAATTTCTAAATTAGAAGAAGAACAGATTGATTTTCTAAAGCTTTCTAAGGAACAGATAACAGTTGTTAGGTCAACGTTAAGGTCCATGAATTCCACCTTGATGGATGTATCCGAAAATGAAAGAATTTTAGCTAAGGGATTACAGAAAATGGCCGAACACATAAATAAACACGACGGCGAAGTAAAGAGAATGTTCACAGCTACCTCCATGTTGCTCACGGTAAATGATCACTCCATACAGTTAGAGAGAGCAATCAATGAGTGTAGAAGAGAGTATGAAATTTTAATAGATGCAATTATCAATTCTCAAAGGGGGATAATTCAACCCCATATTATAACACCTGCCCAGATTATAAATCACTTAAAGGCTAGTCAAGCTGACATTCCAAGCGAACTTTCATTACCAATTCCCCTGAGTGTGGCTTACCAAAGCTTAGTGTTAAGAATAATTGATTTTGATGTATTTTTAAGGAACAGTTTTCTTGTATATGTAATTCGCCTACCTTTATCTAACCATGTAAATTACCAAATTTATCACGTTCTGCCACTACCTATTAAGATAAGAAATACAACCAACAAATTTATTTTTATTTTACCAGAACGTGAGTACCTGTTGATGGATACTGTTAGGCAAGGTTTCATGAAATTAAAGGTAGACGAAATTAAAGATTGTAAACAGATTGACAGCTACCATCGCATATGCAAACAAAAACATCCCATTCGAGTCACACATTTAGATGAGGATTGCGAAGCAGAGATGCTGCAACCCATTAGAGTAGTGCCAGCCAGCTGCTCCCGAAGAATCGTGGAGATCAATCAGACTATCTGGACGCAACTGGATAATAACGAGTGGCTGTATGTAGCCCCTCGACCTGATACTCTTACTGTACTCTGCTCAGGACAGGAACCAACGGACCTCGAAATAGTAGGTACAGGTAAACTTAAATTAAATAACTTATGCAAGGCATATGGAACCAAGGTCCTCATTCAAGCCCAGATGACGGTAGAAACAAACAGTACAGAAAGGGACATAATTCCTCACCTGTTCTTGGATGTCGACTGCTGTCAAACCGAAAGTAAAATTGTAAACCTTAACGATATTCATTTGGACCTGCCTTTAAAACACATAGTCAATCACCTTGACGATTTACGTGTGGCAAGTCACAGGGTAGACGACGTTGAAAGGTTAATCTCAGAACAAGAGTGGAAAATTAAACATTCAAACACAGATTATCACCTCTCTTTTCTGTCATATATAGGGATGGTCACCACAAGCCTAACTTTGTGTGTTCTCTGTTATTGCTGCTGTTGCAAGTGCTGTCGTAAAAATTGCCCAAATCTATCAAGATGGTGGAAGGACAATAACCCTTGTACAACTATAATCTTTAAGCCTAAGATAGTCAACTCAGTTCACTCATCAAGAGAAAGCCTCAAATACGAAAATAGTAAACCATCTGTAAGGACAAGAAATTCACATTGTGATGCCATAGAGGTGACAGAACTTGTGACTCTGAATCCTAACCCTAAGCATGCAATTATTTCTGGCAAAAGATAATTATATGTCGATATAATAATAATGTATAAGCACGGGACTGCAACTTTGCAAGTCTGAAGGTATCATAACTGTAATTCTGCATAACTTAGATTTAGGCTACGTGCAGGTATGTGTATGTGTATCACATGATTGCAAAAGGGACAGGAAATGTAACTCTGCTCAAAAATAAGCACTATTACTGCTTATTTTTCCTTAAGGGGGGAGGTGTAATATATGCACCCCTTAACATACATATATATTACTTTAACATTATGTATATGATTTTGTCTGACTGTACAGACAGGAAGTTATAATTATAATTACAATAAGATAACTGGTCGAGACAAATACGCATGATGCAACACTTGTTTGTCGACCAGAGAACAAGGAACTTTGGGATCATCCGCTATGAGCATGTATTCCATGTGAAATCATAGCATGTGACTGCCAGCCAACGCCCATCCTAGCCTCTTTAAAAGACCATGTTTTGGGGCGCGGATCGGACTTCATAGATTTCACTTCATACACTGCACTGAGTCTCTGTGCTCCGTCATAGGGACTTCATAAACTTCTATCCAGGCAACATTCTTGATCTGTACAACATTTGTATCAACATCATTTATATTAAATATATTCACTGTATTGTACTGCGAGTTCGGCTTGGATTTCAATCCTTAAGTGTCCGACGTACCACGAGGAACAGTCTCCCGCTCGGCTAACCTCTCGTATCCCATCACCATCATAGGGATACAACAAAAGTCCAAAAACCCAGTAATTCTGTGTGTCATCAACCATCGTCATAACCCTTTAGAATGGAAGTTCCAGTAATTAAAATGTAGTAACTACTGCTTTCCGAAACTAACTGATATTCTATTCATATGCAATTTATAGTAACCCACAGCTGCCACAGGTCTGCTCTCCCAGCCATGGTCACAACATGTTTCGTAGATTTCTTTATTTGTAAACAGCACAGGACAACCCACAAATATTTTAAGGCAACTAGTTTTAAAACCCAGCAACATTTGATGTTCTGATGACAGTGACGGTGAAAGCTACTACCTCCTAGGATGTTACCCTATGTAGTCTGGCACACCATTACTGATGTCACAGAGGAACAGGCACATTCATCTTCACACGTTTAATCCTCTTTAAAAACTTCAACTTACAGTCAGATGCACATAGTAACATAGTAGGCTTTTGACCTCTATGTCTTAACAGCTGTTTATAAAATACCTATGCTACTTAATCTGATTGCTGTGTTCTGTCAGTGCAACTCTAAAAATGTATACCCATTCAACTGTTTATTTAAAATCACTACATGTTTTGACCATCCAACTGGTCATCATCAGGTGATACAATGACTACATGTGTTTCTGAATTTTTTAGAGCTACGTAGACGCAACACAGCAATTAAATTAGTTTGATCACACAACACAGGATTCACTCTATAAAGATGCTACTTGTTTCACTTTTCTTCCTTTCTTTCTTCATTACACTTTTCCACTTTGTGCAGGTGACCTAGCCTCTCCATCAATCTCTACCTTTCTTAAGCTCCCATTCCTAAATTTGCTTCATTCCTTCTGCATGACATCTTTTCCAACTTACGGTTCCCATCTTGATTTTGATCTCTGTCTTGGGCTTTTTCCTTTTACATTCATGTTCAAAACCTTCTTTACAATTCTGTCTTCATTCACTCCTAAATTGAGCCTATACCATCTTACTTTGGTACTTATTAGTTTAGTATTAATCTTTTATTTATCAATTTTGTGTTTTTTATTCTATCTTCTTGGGTCTGTCCTTCCACTGTTCTTAAAAATCCAATCTTAGCTGCCATTTTCACTAATACCTGCCTTTGTCCATGTCCATGTTTCTTACTCATGTTATTCTTTTTCATACTTCCACACAGTTGTCCCAGCTGCAGATATTATCAATTTCTGTTCCCAAAAAGCTGAGATACTCATAACACTTACCCTTCTCCAAAACTTACCTGCAAGAACTCTGGTGTGGTGTTGTGCAACCTTTGCAGTGTGTGTGTGATATCATATGAGTATGAGAAATACAGAAATGGTGTATTCAGCACATTTTCAACCATTGAGATATATAGCTCATTTTGTGAGATCTGTAACACAGGGTTAAGATAAAGAAAATAACATTAGAATAACTTCACAGTGGTGACTATTAATGCTGTGGTCTTCAGGGATGTCAGACCATGTAGTCTGGAAGGTTGTGGAATGTTTCAGAGAAACACACTGCCTCCATCTTCAAGGTAGAAGTTTTACCCATAAAATGAAGGAAGTATGTTCCTCTCAAATGTATGTGATAACCTAGCAGAACACAGAGCATCATATCACAGAAGAAAGCAAGCTTAATTAAGATTTTGTCTGTCATCTTTCACCAAACCTGTTTCAGTGTGTTTGTGTTTTACTGATGCTCACTGCATCCACACAAAAGTTGTCCCTGTGCTTAACTAATTAACCACTACGCTGCGAAGGTGTATGGGGGAGTCGATGTATAGATCTATAATTCTTTGGCCTAGGCACTAGCTGGAGGTGAGTAAAACAAACCTAACTAAATTAAACTAAATCCATCATCCTGCTTTTATCTGAAAGACACAGCTTGGCTTGTATACCCCATCTTGGTGCTGGCATAGGTGTCTGGAGACAGGGACTAGCTCTATTGATTTGGCCTAACTGAATAGGTTTTACCTGAAGACAGAAACAGAATCCAGTCTCCGAAACACTGTCTTGAAAAATAAACAAGACGGTGTTTTCTGATAAAGACAGGAGAGCAACATAATATTTGTACTAATGTACTGTCGTCACAAACTTTTAGATCTTATTTAAATGAATGTAGCTTAACCAAACTGCGATCTTTCAGAGAAGCACATTTCATATGAACAAAACTATATATTTTACTTTCACTAGTTTAACTACATAAAATGAATACTAAGTACACCTCTGTCCAAAAAGTATCCAACTTTATATTTTTGCCGCTGTAAGTAATGGCCAAAGGGGTGGGGAACTGAGCATAGTGGTTTTCAGTATTCAATCTGCTTCAGAAGCATTTAATAAGGATATAAAATAACGTCATATATTGAGACAGTTATACTGTTGTACAAGATAATTCTTATATGGTAATTTTGTATAAGTGGGGAAAATCATGTAGTAACTTTAGACACAGATTGTACAACCAGAACATTGTAACTTGGATGTTCATTGATATTACTTGCTCAACCAACAAAAGTATCTTGTTCTGATGTCAGAAAACGGAGTAGACTCTTTGACACTCCCACTCTAAAAACTTTCCATATCTGGCTATATGAGAACATCATTAAAGGTCCAAGACGATAGGATAATACCCAAACAGATAAAATGTTGTAAGCAGTGGGAAGATTCTGTAAGCTCCTTTTTGGGAGACAATGCTAAAACTAGTGGAACAGGGCAATGCACTAAGCAATCAGTATAAATACTACGTTTGTAAAAGTTTCCAGTCATTCTCTGATCTGATACAAAGTTCAGTCCTCGTGGACGGTACTCCGTGCAGTCGGAAGCTGGACATTGTGAAAGGCCTTATGCCTTAAACTGCTGTCAAATTGTTACAGTTTCTTGTTTGTAACAAACGTCTTGTAAGAAGTTACTTCCAGCAGTCTCATCTTCACACAGCAACGGCCTACCCAAACTCTGCTCGACCAAGCCATAGTAACTGAACCATGGGTATACAACAATAAAACAACAATTTAAAAAGATGTGGTTGTCAAATTTAGTTTCTTTCTTTGTGGAACAATATAAATTACTAGTGACAGAAAGCAAAATTTTCAGGAAAATATATGGACCTAAATGCCAAGAGGCATAGGCAATTTAGGATATTACACAGCAAGGAGCTTTGTACATATTTTCATGATTTCACAGCGGTTAGTATCCAGAAGTAACAAAGCCCCTATCTTCAGGCAGATTTCTGTAAGATATTAGTTTCCTTCTACATGACAATAAGATTTCTTAACCCAGAAGAAGCTCCATGACTTTCTATTACCTACTGCTGTTAGGACAGTAAGATTAATGTAGTTACAGTCTGCTGGACATGTGGTTTAGTGGAGGGACATACAGACTTTTGGAGGGGGAAACCTCTCAGAAAGTGGTCACTTGGAAGGCAAATGGATTAGAAGAATGGGAGCTGCACGGACCTGGCTTAGTATTGCTTCCAATGGCAAACATTAATGTTGGAAGTACTTGACTTTAACATTCTTCTGTCACAGTCATTCAGTTTACATTCAGATATAAGTTTTACATTCTCTAACAAATCTGAATATGGTGACAGAGTATGTTAGTTTTAGCTTATACCGTCTAAGGACACATATACTTATCACTGTCATTTATACTGCCAAGACATGTTTTGACTACCATCAGTGGTCACAAACATAAACTACATTCAATTATCAGCTTTACATCATGGTAATGGGTCTAAGTTACCTAATCTGATGTACAGTTTCAGCACTTGCCTGCCGGGACTGCGGAAAGCTATGGAAAACCTCCATCAGGATTATCAATGTCCTACTCAAGTTTCAAACTGGTCATCTCTCTGATACATACCAGAAGCACTGCTGCTTGAGCAAACTTGCTCAGTGCAGGGCACTGTTAGTTTTGTACACATGTATTACAGTCTCAAATGCAACATTTGTCCTTGTCTCATATCTCACATCTCTTTGTGACATGTTTCAGCTGTACAAAGCCATCATGATGTATATATCAATTTTGCCAACACTGTTTCATTGTGTAAGTTATATTTTTTTAATGTAACTTGATGTTAACTTGTGAACACTGTTATATTTTTTGTTTATAATTCACTAAAATGTTCATTAAAAATATGTTCACTAAGACACTGCCCATCAACTGGCATTGCAAACAGAAGAAAACTTCTTGGTAATTGTGTCTCTTTCCATCGTCAGGTGAGAAGGTCGACAGACTAGATAAATCTAACAGATCCAACTGAATAGGTAACTCAGCACCTTTCACCTGAGAATGAAAGATCCAACTCACAAAACATTATGTTCTGTTGAGAATACATGATGATGGGCAAAGTCCAAAAATCTGAAATCCCAATTGTAATACAATGTTGTACAACCCTTTAAAACTGATCTAACATTGCAGTGTCACTGTCCCACAAAAAGAGTAACTAATTTAATACAAAACAAAGGGAATAAAGAGATGTAAACTATGATGCACAAAATACTGCAGAAATACATGTTATTTTTAAACAAAGTCTAATGAAAGTCTAACTTTCATCAACTTTGTTTATGAGCTCGACAGCATTAAAACAATCACTCAGCTTACCTGTTTCTGAGTTAAATGTAACAAGGTTCGTTTGTATGATATCACATCTGTTTCTGCAACCTGCCATATGGTTTGGCCATTTATGGTTCCAACTTTATGTTTCTTTGTAATTATCACAAGATATGGCCCAGCCAATAACTGAAGAGTACCTACTATCCCACATATTGGCTTAGTGCTGGAAGCTTGGGGGATCTGACTGTGATTCACTGGAAGAGAACACAATGAAATCAACAGGATGCAATGGTGAACAAGATCATTTATGTCCAAATAACAGTTTGCATTCTTCTGGGTTTCTGGACTTACCTAACAACACTGTGTTCACTGCACAGATTAAGTGGTTAGATGATTTACAAATGACAAGCACCCACCATTTTGAACTCAGCCTATAGCAATTTATACATTTAGCACAAAAGTACCGCCTTTTTCCTTCACTGAACTATGTATGTCCTTACACCCAGTTAGTGAGAATACACATATGAAAAGGGTACAAACATGGACACCGAAAAAGAAACATAACATGGAATGAAGAGAGAGTTTTATTCTCAAACAAACACAATTTAATGTGAACAATGATATGCAGCATCATTGTAATCACACACACTAGTGCAGTGAGAGGATTTTCAAAACATTAACAATTGCCTGAAGAAGGTCAATTAGGGCTGAAACATTTAGCAAATTAAAGAGATTTTAATGTTATTTTAAATGAAAGACAGATTGTGAACAGTTTTAAATTGCATAAAAGATGGAGGTTAATGAGTGAATGGCCTGCTAGTATCTAGTGGGAAAATTATGGAAAGGAATAAAAAGTTCTCAATGTTGTATCTCGAAGGATAGTGATGGGATGTACTTGTAGACCGAGCCAAAGTCTTGTGGACTGGGATCGTTGGAGCACTTAAGAATCGAAATTCAAGTCTTCGGAAGTCGGTTTTCAGGTTAATAGAATGATGTATTGAATCAAATGCTTACACAAGGTTACATTAGGAATATTAATTATAGTTACTTGATAAATGAACAAAAGGATGTGAGTGCACCATGCACCAACGCGATAGGATTCGGCAGGTAGTGAGAGGTATCCTCCAGGGAGGTGCTGAGTGTACTACTCGATGATGCCGCACTGAAGTTCAGTAATAACACAAAATAGTGATTAAACTGGCGAGGAGTCCGACCGAAGTGAACAAGTCAAAAGTTTAGCGTGGTGTCCGCCGTGGCTGGCAAAGCCTGAGTTTTTAAAGGGATTCGAACCCTGAACTTGGTGCTTGGACACCCAGAGACACGCCTATTGAGGGCGGAGTCAGATTCAGGATCGACATTTGATTCGTCGTCCTTAAAGAATAGTTTGACCATTCAGACGTATGGAGCACTGGATTGTCATAGGAATTCTAAATGAGGATTCCAATTAAAATGATTTTTGAAATCACGAGGGGAGAACATCTGCAGGAAGTGCCCATAAGCACGTCTCTCCCCAAAAGGGTGAACCTCTTATTTTGTATTCACTCAGAATTTCGGGGTCTAGACTACCCCATACAGGAAACGGACAACTTAATAAACAAGTAGGATAGCTCGTGGTACATGGTACAAAATTATGCGGGGGTTGAATACATATTACATCAAGCACTGCTGTTAAAGGGAATGAGGAGTGAGGTGGTGTGGAACATCACTACACTACCTAATCTTGTTAGGGTCACTATATATTCTAATCCTCTCAGGATGTGGGGAAAGTGGATGATCCATTATTACTCTCAACAAAACATAATTTCTTTTGTCTGCAAAGGCAAAACTGTCAGGACTAAAAAGAATATACAGAAGAGAATCTCATTTTGGAGACTGACTCTGATGAAGCAATCTCATCTGTCTGCAAAAGAGAGAGAGAAAAGAGTATCTGGGTGATATCAATAATGCAAACAGAACCCCAAGTAATAAAATTTTGTCAAAACCACAAATTCTTAGGAATTCTGGCAGTATTCAATATATCATTGGAAGTCTCAGCAGAGTCATGATATATGAAGTGCCATCAGAAAGTTCCCCAACTAGGTCAAAAAAGAAATGCTGGCTTAACTTACTCAATTTTGGCTGCCATCTCCTTCAAAATAGTCTCCTTGGGAACGTATATAACGCGATCCCATTGTTTTTCCCATGCTTCAAAAGCACCATGGAGGTCATTTTCCTTAGTGAGTACTGCTAGCAATTCCCTTTGGTTGTCAGACACAGTTTCAAACTGTTGTCCCTTTTGTTTCATTTTCAAGTTGGGAAACAAAGTGAAATCACTAGGGCCTAAGTCCGGTGAGTAGGAAGGGTGGGGAATGATAACCATGTTGTTAGTCACAAACTCTGTGGTTTTCAGGAATGTGTGATAGGATGTGTTGTGATGAAGGAGCCAGCTGTGGATGAACCAAAGTTCTGGTCTTTTTCAATGAACATCTTATCTCAAGCATCTCAAAATGTGGTTGAGCCAAAGTTCCAATCTTTTTCAATGAACATTTTACTTCAAGTGTCTCAAAATGTCATAGTGAAGTCAGAGTTGAGCGTAATGTTTGAAGGAACAAATTCACGGTGAACAATCCCCTTGACATCGAAAAGAACAATAAGAATGCTCTTTGTTGAACTCCGGACATGCGGCGCCTTTTCTGCTCTTGCTGATTGTGGGCTCTTCCACTGTGACAACTGTTGCTTTGTTACTGGATCATGACTGTAAATCCTATTTTTGTCACCAATTATGATCCTAGAGATGAAAGCTAGTTCTTCATTAGCCTTCTCTCATACCTCGAGACACACATTTATGTGCCGCTGCTTTTGATCATTTGTCAAGAGTCAGGGAACAGACTTTGTGGCAGTGTGGCACATGTTCAGATTTTCTGTTAAGATCTCCTGGTGACTCCAAAACTGGTCCAAGTTGTGTCTATGAGCTCATGGATTGTTTGGTGACAGTCTTTGTAGATGAGTTCTTGAATTTTTTCATGTCATCTTCAGCTCACACTTGAAATGCCTTGAAACGTCAATGCCATTCAAAAACCGCTGTCTGGTTTAAAAAAATGTTCTCCATATTCCTCATGAAGAATTTCAAGGGTTTCATTAGCTGACTTACCGATCTTCATGAAAAACTTGATGTAGAAACGTTGCTCAATTTTGCCATCCACTGCAGCAAAATGAAACAAGAAGTCGAAAACAGGCTCATATAAAAAGAGTGTGCGCTCACAGCGCTATGTCACATGGCAGCCTGATGCAATAGGCTTGCAGAAGTGTGACCTTGGCCTCCCCTCTCATCTTCTTTCATCGAGGCAGTTAACAATAACAGTCCAGGAACTTTCCCATATATCTCATAAGATGCACCCCACACAATGTCTTCATATTTACATTAAATAGTCTTTTGACTATACTCTGATGATGTGACTAAACTCAATACTATAAGCACAATCAATATTTAGGCATATCTCTCATGGAAGTCATACGGTCATAACTTCTTATGAAGGGTTTACAGGATACACATTTTCTCAATTGGTTTCAACAATAATATTGGAACACATTAGTGACACATTCAAAGATTACAGGTCCATTCTTCAACATTTCTATACCTCATTTTACAGAAGTATGGCAAAATGCAACCAGTTTCTTCATCGACTGGGATTTCTACATGAATCAATGAACCATACTGTCATGTATAGGGTGGTATGCGTGACGAGAATGACGGGTTCTAGTTCAAATGGTTGGATTTATTGGCACTTCGGTTCCAACCTCTCTTAATCACACTTTAAATACAGGCAGTATGCATGAACAGCAGCACAGCATGCATACAAACCACACCATTAATAACAAGAACACACCACCGAGGGATAGACGACAATTCCTCTACTAAGGAAGATTCAACCAACCCACACTGGTTCACGAATAAAATTCTTATCTTAAAATAAGTTTATACACACACTCATAAACATAATTTTAATGTAAGGAAGGCTGCTGTGGTGAAACAAATTGAATTTTTTATATAAAATACAGTGGGAAATTTTTAATTATCCGTTAGGGAAGTGATTGCAACTACGCCACTTCTAAGTAATACAATTCAAAAACATTACCAAAAAAAAAAAATTCTACATCAACGTTTATACGACAAAAATAAACAACTACATATAGTGGGCATCATAAATGTTTTAAGTGTTTCTACTCTTAAAAACTTTTACGTGTTAGTGGATTCCTGATCGTAGAAGCATACCTCTGATGATGATAAAGACCTTTTATTTCTACTCATGTTTATATTTAAATATCTTTCCCTCTCATATTTATTGTAAATAGAAACCATTAATGTAGCATTAACATTTTCTATCATAGTGCAGACTATTTTATTCAAAACATGATTTTTCACTATTTCATTGGGGAAAAAAGAGAAAGAGAGAGAGTGTGTGTGTGCATGCGTGCATATGCAGGGGAAAGCGGAGAAGGGGACACTTTCTTGAGGCCAATGGAATATGTCACAGGATTTTTTTTTTAAAAATGACATATTTTTTTCAATGACATCTCATTTCAGTTTAATTGTTTCTTGCATCCTGTTGTGTATTTAATCAATATTAGAGTCAATTTTACCGACTACACAACACGTTTTTATTATTATCACACTACATGTTTCGACCTCAAGAGGTCATCCTCAGGTGTACGAACAACTGTATAATTACACGCAATCACATTCGTTTTTCCACTTATTCAACCCTGTATCTTATTCAGGCTTATGCTCAATGATATATCAAGCTCTTCTTATAAAATACAAGTTAAAATATTATTCCAAAAGTTAAAATTTAAAATTTTTAAATTTTGTGAATCGAAGTTCGACTCAGATCACTGGTTATACTTTCACTTTCACTTGTTTTTCAGTCACTTCCTACTTACGCTTGCCACTGCGTCCAGTTCACTTCAACTAGTTTAATTACTACCACTGGTTAAAGTTCAACTTTATTACATTGGTTGTACTTTCACTTTTTTTGGAGGTCTCACTGTTCTTCCGCGTCCTCTGATGCTGCTGGATCTGTTACGATCCTTGTTGTGATGGCTACTGATGTGTCTTGCTTGTTCGGTTGGTTCCTGTAGTAGGGTATTAGTGGTGGGGGTTGCGGGTAGGGGTGGTGTTCTGAGAAGATAAGTAGGTGGTTTTGGGATATATCAGATGCAAGAAATATAATATATCCCAAAACCACCTACTTATCTTCTCAGAACACCACCCCTACCCGCAACCCCCTCCCCCCACCACCACTAATACCCTACTACAGGAACTCTAATACAGGAAATTGACTCTAATATTAATCTCATTTCAGTATTTGCAATAATAACAAATATAAACATGAATTTTAAAAACGACTCTTTTGAAATCCATGATTATTTGTAAAATGATTAGATGAAATGATGTTCTGATGATGTGTTNAAAAAAAAATCTTTAAAAATACATTGCCGCGGTTGAGCCGCAAAGCGGTTAAACAGCGCGCGGATAATCGAGAGTCTACTGTACTTTTTTTTTAATGATAATATCTCTCCTTAAAAAAATGATGGTGTGCCCTGACAATTCTAGCACCTTGTTCAGTGTGCTGTGAATTGAAAAAGGCTTAAAATCTCTGCTTATATGCCAGCTGGCACTGGAATGACTGAATAGAATAATGATTTTTGTCTGGAAGGGCTGAGGATAACAACAAAAAAAACCTCAGTCAGAATGTCTTCAGACCTGGCTGAGATTTTACCCAGGAACCCCTTAGAATATAAGCATACAGTTTTACCTCTAAACTACCAAATTCAGTGATTCAAGCCTTCATCCTGATAATTCTACTAGGTCATGGAACTTCTCTCGCATGTGGAAATGACAAAAGCACTTCCAAAATCATCATCATCATATTTAAAAACACTACGGTTCATGAACCTGCTACATGGTTTGTAGCCCAGGTGAATATACTGAATGTCAAAGGTAGGAAAGAATGGGAGTGCAGGCTTATGGCCATGTTGGACTGTATGGAATGGACAAAAACACAGTGGCTGTAAGGTAAAAGTAAAGTTGTCCCTGTGTTTAATTAGATAAGCACTATGCCATGAAGACACATGGGGGAGTGGAGGTATAGCTCCATCTTCCTTGACCTTGGTGCTATATGGAAGTGAGTGGTCAGCTTCACTCACAAGCCACTTCACTACCAGTACCAATTGGATTTGAGGCTGGGTGGGCCCCAAACAAATCACAAAGATAAAAGACTGACTTGTAGGGAAAGCAGAACAAGAAAACTACATCATACAGATAAATTATATACCGCAGAGCTACACTCCCTCATATACAGCACACTCAGTTTTGTAAATGCAACAACAGAAGACCACTGTGAGAATTGAGAACAATGTTCATTGTAGTCTCTGAACATAACTGATGAAAATATATAGCAACATTATAATTTTTTTCAGAATCTCTCACAGACACACACACAACAGCTGTATGATGAAACTACTTAGTTTTGGAATGTTGTTTTTACACCCTAGTTCATGATTTACATGTGCTTATGACACGTTTCAGGTACATACAACCACCTTTAAGTATATGCCTCGCACCGATTGTTTCACTGCAGACGTGTCCCTTTTGAGTACATGACAATATAAAATATGAAAGTCTGAAAGTTCTATGTCCAAGGTGGACTTTGTTAATAAAAATTAAATCGTTTATAAAAACTGTGTAAGACGTAGTTTTGTCTATTCTTCATTCGCCCTTCATTGCTGCTGATTCAACTAATGAAACAAGATGCTGAAATGCAATATTACGAATAGCATTCACACCAACAGTATATACAGATATACGAATATACCAACTGTTAAGCTTAAGTTGCTTTTTTCCAATGCATATACAAATTAAAAAAAAAAACTGTTTAATAAGCAATCTTATACGGAATACAGCCAACTATTTGACTTGTATACATATACATGTAACCTTCAACTAATGTAACAGGATCCTGAAAATCATCCCGCATCAACCTCTAATACTAAAAATAAGAATATGTAATTGACTTTCGATATGTTGTGATTTACGAATTACGAATTATAATAACAAGACTATCAACGGCAACATTTTGCCGGTAACCAACCTTACATATTATACTCGAAAAAAGAAAACACAGACCTTGCAAAGAAATTTCCTGACTCACTCGATCTATAACCAGTAACTCCTTTCCACCACTAAGTGCTTCGATATAAAATTTCTCAGGCGTAATGTACCTAAAATTAAAAAATGGCATAATAAGTCAGATTCTGATTGTTTTGGATCCATTATAACTCCTGAATTAAAATGCGCCATTACTTACAATATAAAATCGCAGTGCAATTCTGCAATAGCAGACATAATTACAACTACAGATAACACACTTATAACCTCTACTCGACAACCCATCAGGCATACCAAATTCTGAAAATGCCAAATGCAGGGAAATTTCTGTCGCCCATTGACACATTAGCACAGAAAAGTCGTGCCGTGGTGAGGGTACTTCGGTGTTTAGTAATCCGTGCTGCTGGCTGTGGTCCCCACCCCGGTCCCAACCCCAACGGACCTTACCTGTCCATACTATGATGACGATGACCATGACGAACATGACCTTCTAGATTTCTAGATGTTCTAGATCGTCTAGATAGTGTGGTACCGTCAACATCTCAGAACCCTATGGGCCTTCACAGCCTGGTACAGGGATAGCTTTACTTTTTTTTTAATGATATTCATTATTTTGAAGATATCTGAAGACGACGAAGTCGGCCGAGGTGTTCTGTAGTAGCAGATTGTAGTTAAGTGCGAAGTCATGGACGCAGACACGGCGAGTACGACTACTTCTATTGATGACAAAACTGAAGATTTCTGTGAAAATCCTACACGAGACATTCTTGCAGAGGGTTTGATGTGCCTACTGAAGCCGACAATAGATCAATTAGATGAAAGAGTACGAGCCACACGGTAATCTGATAATTTCAGTTATATTTATAGCTTAGATTTGTTACATAACCTGCACTGAAGTAATTCTAGATAAGCTTGGTCAATCCACCGTGTCATTTTGTGCATCATACGTGGGTATGAAGAATATCAGAATTATAAAGTGTACGTTGGTGGTTTAATGTTAGTATTTCTTTTGTCGGATTGACATTACGAAGTTCGTGAATTTTGTGTGATGGTTAACCTGAACTGAATTTCATGCATAAATAAGTGTCATACTTAGATGTTGATGGATGGCCACCTCATTCATTATACTCAACTTATGTTAGGCCATGTAACAATCTAAATATTATTTCATGGCTACATGCTTCATCCTCAAGTGCTGCTTGTAATATTTCATGTTTCCAGAGTTGTTTTCCCAAGATTCATGGAAAGCTTAGTCCATAAACGTTGTTCTGTAAGATGTACCATCTTAAATTGTGATACAATTCTTAACCATACCCTTTTGTATGACAAGCAACTGAATACAAATATTACAGTGGAATTGCATATTCAGTTGATTCATTCATTCATATATTTTTCGTTCCATGGATCCACAATACAAGTGAGATATAGGACATGTCCGTACAGTGATTATTCTTAAAATTAATAGAGCAAGAACTAACCACATAAATAAAAAAAAAAGTATAAAATACAAATACAAAAACAGAAACAAATCAAAAACAAAACATGTAGAATCAAATAGATTCCAGTCATATAAGTTAATTTTGATGAAAGATGCAGTTTAAATTTAGACAATGTCAGTTTGAACATATCACAGAAATTGCTTAAATGACTAGACTAATACTAATAAAAAACAGGATGATCCACAGGTGATTCTAGTGAATGCATAATCATTAACTTATAATGATTTATATTGGAAATATTCTTCCATAAAATAAAAATGGTGAAGATAAAGAAAATGCTTTAAACAAATTTTGAACTTCTTAGGGTTGAGTGACTCTTCTTTTATATAAGAAGGAAGATTATTATAAATTTTTATGCCCGTATAATACACTCCCTTTTGATATACCGTAAAATTTGCTATGGGTTGATAGAAATTTGTAATATGTCTTGTATTTATATTATGATTTAGTGAATTTGGAATAAAGAGACTTTTATTATTAACCACAAAGAGCATGAGTGAAAAAATATACTGTGAAGCCAAAGGCAAAATTTCCAATTTCCGAAAGAGATCTCTACATGAAACTCTACTATTACAGCCGATCATAATTCTAATTATCTTCTTCTGCATTCTAAATACTTTTATACTATGAGGCGAGACTCCCCAAAAGCAAAGACCATAGTTCATAACAGAGCCAAAATAAGAGTAGTAAATTGTTTTCAAAGTTTTTAGAGGCAAGTATGGTTTAATACTTCTCATCATATAACATGCTGAGGTAAGTTTTGGGATTATACATTCCACATGTGAACTCCAGTTGAGTGTATCCATTATGTTTATACCAAGAAACTTTATATTTGACACAGTGGTTACTGGACGATTGTTACAAACAATATCTACGTCGGTTGTGAGTTTATTTTTGGTTTTAAACTGAATACTATGAGTTTTATTAATATTTATTGAAAGCAAATTTGTCCTAAACCAATTATATAAATGATTAAAAACATTAATCATATTAATATGGAGATTTTCTGAATTTGAACCTTTAATTAGTACACTTGTATCGTCGGCAAACAAAATGGTTATAGCATTATTAATTACAATTTTGGGCAGATCGTTGATATAAATGAGAAACAGCAGCGGGCCCAAAACCGAGTGATATTCAGTGCACAGTGTTCATCTACATTTCTCAAATCATTATGGTGCATGTATATATGTCAGTTGCACAACTTCTTCATAGACATTCATTCATATTCATATTTATTTGCATTCATACTGTTACAACTGCAACACTTGAACAAGTCAACTCACTAAATACATCATTGTTAAAAGCTCTATAATCCTAGAATGTATTAGACTAAAAATAAAACTGTACTTGCCTTACAACATCATTAAAAATTTTGAAAATATAACAATAACTACTACAATTCCCTTTTCTTCTCTTTTTTTGTTAATTAAAAAAAAACCTTGCTATGCTTCCTCATGTCCCTGTTGAAGAAACTCATTCAATGTATAGAAAGAACGATCAAATAAAAATAATTTTAATTTATGTTTAAATAGTAGTTACTATAGGATTCTGACGATGGTGTATAACACACTGATATGTTGGGTTTTTGGACTTTATCCATCCTGGTTTTTAAGATAACAAATAAAAACACGACGTTTCGGAAACTGGATCTGTTTCCGTCCTCAGGTGAAGGAAAACACCTATTCAGTTGGGTCTGTTAGAAAGAGCTAGCCTCAATCACTGGTTGGTCCTGTTTAAATAGTACTTAAATGAACTGATAATTCTATTTGCTTATTTAATAAACTTTGCACATTATGATGTAAAATTACAATGCTTTGTTCCTTTAGGTTCGACCAAACTCCACTTTCACCTTTTTGGTTAGTTATGGTTTGTTTAGTTCTGTCCATAAAAAATCTGCGCTTCTTTTTATTGGTGCTTTGCGGAGTCGTTTTGTCTGAAGCTCTATCTGCTTGTCCCCCATCACATTAACCCTTCCTTGGTCCTTATTTGCTTGCCCATTATTTTTGATGGCTGCCACATTCAATACATTCATCACCTTTGCTATTTTACCTAAGTTAATAGCTCCACTGCACTCTTCTTCTTTCTATTTCATCTCAATTGGAACTACTTTAATCACATTTAAGATATCTCTTATCACTTCCACCATTTTATCTGCCATGACCTCTTTACCTTTTACATTCAAATGCAAGCCATGTTTTGTATACAATTCCCTACCGTTTCCCACTTCAAGCACTTGTAAATTTGAAAAAGCTTTCTTATATTTCATCAGTTTCCTATTAAACTTTTTTACTGCACTGTTTACACAAGAAGTTTCCTGGAGGTCATGTCTATGAGGTACATTTATTAGTACCAGTCTAGTGTGATTATGTCTACTTACAAAATCTTTCAATTGCCGCAGGCCATTTTCCCCTTCATTTTTAGCTATATCTTGAGTCATTCCCCATATAATACACACATCATTATTAACCATTATTAACCACTTCCATGGTTGTGTTTAACTATATTTTAAATTTTGGAACTTGTATCAGTTTTGGTTCTTTTCTTTTTGATGTTGGCGTGCATTATATCTAACAGTTGGAAATGATGGTATTTGTAGCTGACACTGACACTTGGCTGTTAATGCTTTGTGGGGCTAGGGGAGTTGAAGCAGTGTACTGTCAGAAACAGAAGTTACTTTTCTTTTGTGTTTCAATTTTTTTTTTTAAAGAAATTATTGTGACATGACATCCAGAACCCATGAACCTTAAAATGTGAAAATCCTACATGAGACATATGGCAGAGGGTTTGATGTGCCTACTGAAGCCAACAGTAGATCAATTAGAAGAAAGAGTACAAGCCACCCGGTAATCTGATAATTCCAATTATATTTATTGCTCAGATCTGTTACATAACCTGCACTGAAGTAATTCTAGATAAGCTTGGTCAAAACTCCGTGTCTTTTTGTGCATCATGCGTGGGTATGAAGAATATTCAAATTATAAAGTGTACGTTTGGTGGTTTAATGTCAGTATTTCTTTTGTCGGATTTGAGGTTCTCTTAGTGATCCTCCAGTAGGAGTTGACAGACGTTTTGGAGCAGCCGTGTCAAACATGCGGCCCCCATAGCCACAAAGTGCGGCCCCTCAACTTTTAGAGCTAACTGATATTAAAATCAATATTAAAATTTTAGTAGAAATATTTTTTGTGAAGACAATTTTCCAGCAGACCAGAAGACAAGAAGTCTCATGCAGACATAAATTAGCAGGCTGCAGGAAATTCAATGTTTTGCTATTTCTAACATAATTTCTTGTGTAATCTCTCTTTTTTCATATTGAAAAGCTTTTTGATACTTGTCAAAAATGGCATTCTCTTGCTTTTTAAAACTGTAAGATATGTGACTTTAAGTAATTATATTGAAATTATTCCTAAATAATAAATAGAATTAAATTTCCTTGTATCAAAATCTAATGTATATTTCTATTTTGAAGTGCGGCCCTTGACTGTTATTTATAGGGCTGAGGTGGCCCTCTGTACAATTTGAGTTTGACATGCCTGTTTTGGAGGAAGGTATTGAACTTCTGCCCATCTGTATGGAGTCACAACTCAAAAGAGGGCACTGTTTAGATATTTATTTATTTATTTATGTTGTAGGAAATATGTGAGAATGTTTGGTCATAAGGCATAGGAAGATATGAACAAATTATACAGTAGACTCAGTAAACTTATAAACCAAACTTAAATTAGTTACACCCTACACATACACAACCCAGTTTTGATGGACATGAGTTTAAATATTATTGGTGATTAGTGTGCTTAATTCACTTTTTTTTTAATTGTAGAAGTAATAAGTAAAATGCAAACATGTATAACATTTCCAGATTCATCAACGGAATAAAGGCATGACCTAAAAGACATTCTTTTAATATTAAGTTAAATTGTGTTTTATTAGAGATCAGCATTATTTTTAACTTTATAGTCTGACCTGAACGGGATTTCCTCAGAAGTTAGTGGCTCTAGATGATGTCTGGAGTTAGGTGATTTTATGTAATGTCCTGCAGGCAAATGCCTTGTATTGTAATTACACAGTTCTTATTGAATCTCTTTTCTTTATTTGACAGAATCAGCCAAGTAGAGTTGAAGCAACAAATAGAAGTTCTTTCTGAAGAGCTGAAGAAGATTTCAGAATCCCAAGAATGTATTTTTGATATTGATGTGTATGTCAGGAAACTTGTAAATGCAAAGTTGAAAGTAACTGTTGTCAGCAATATATTGCAGGCTGTACAGGTAAAGTTGACAACTTCTGGATGCAGGGGTTTTAAAATTATGCCAAGTACTAGTCAGCAAACTAAAATTCATTCACCATCCTAAGACATTCAGTTCATTGCCAAATTTTTCAAACAGGCTCTATTATTTTTTTTAGATTTTTTTTATTGTTAGATATAGCAAGGATTTTATTGTGTATTTTTAAAAATTCTGAATTTGTCATTTTAAATAAATATGGAAATATTTTTTTAGTTTCTTGTATAAAATAGTTTATTTTAAAACATGTGAAAGTGTAGGAATGTAACTAATTAATGCAAAAACAAATAACTTTAGAATTAAATGATTGAAGAAGTTTCTTGTGGGGATCATAAAATAGTGAAACATTTTGGGGCCTTTTGTTCCCACTGAAATTTTTGAGGTAAAATATAAATAAATATGCATATAACTTTAATTGTTAGGTGTATTTGACATACAGGAGTCTTACATCATGTAGAAGAATGGCACATGTGGCTAGTAAATACAGAGGGGTCCAAGAAAAATGTACTCACTCTTTGATAGTCAATATCTTTGGAACAAAATGACATGTAGTTACAACTCTTGCACGGGGGGGGGGAGTCATTGTATGTGTTCAAAGTGACCACCATCAGCGGCTAAACAGCTTCGATGCTGCCGAACTGCTGAGCGAACTACGGCTGTCAGTGTATCCGGTGTGATGGCTGCACACGACACTTCGATGGTTTTTCATAGCGCGTTCAGTGTATCTGGCTTTTGGCGATAAACTTCATCCTTCAAGGTTCCGCATAGGTAGAAGTCAACAGGTGTTAGGTCTGGAGACCATGGTGGTGGAGGGGAGTTGAAGCAGTGTTCTGTCAGAAACAGAAGTTACTTTTCTTTTGTGTTTCAGTTCTTTTTTTGAGAAATTATTGTGACATGACATCCAGAACCCATGAACTTTAAAATGTGGGGACCATAAATGTGTCAGACCCATTTGTTAACTAAGTAGCAAAAATAGGAATCCCTAGTGGCCCCAACAGTCAAGATGCTGGTGACCTCAGTGTTGTCTCGGTGGTCTACAACAATGCTATATAAAGGAGATGCTTGCCAGGCTAGTCACTGTTCTCCTTCTCTGAGTCTGCAACCTAGCAGTGCGGTCTGTGATGACAGTACTGAAGACCCAGTCAAGAATGATCTAATGGGCAGTGAAACTGCGAATATTTATGAACTGTTATGATCTGTTGTAAGCGTGGAATCAGAGGCCCGTCAGCAGAAATGATAGTGCTACAGCTAGGCTGACTAATGTCTTTCAAGACAGCAGTGTGACCTGAAGTCCACAGCTCATGAACTTTAGAATGTGGGGACCGTAGAATTATTGGAAAAATGTTCATTTACTAGGCAATGAAAATGCAGATCCCTACCAGCCACTGCAGTCAAGCTGCTGGTGTGCTCAGCATTGCCACAGCAATCCACAGAACTGAGATGTAATGAAACTTGCCAGGGAAGTTGGGTTTCTCATCTGAGTGTGCATCCTAGCAATGAGGTGTGATGACAGAGAACTCAGGGTCCAAGCAAGAATGATCTGACAGGCTGTGGAACTCGTGATCACTTTTAAACAAAGGGAATCGGTGCAAAATATATTCACTTCATACCTGAAGCTCTTATACAGTCATTATCATATGACAGTACCAGGTCAATGGAATTGTTGCCTGGTGTCACCACCTACTGCAAAAGTGACTCACAAATTCCATTCTATTTGACATCAGTTATATTTGTGTTGGATTCTGATTCTTCTCTTTATTTTTGTCTACTTACTAAGAATGGATGACACAAAAAAACTTTTAAATTTCACTGCCATGTTGCCCACCATGTTTTGTTTGTGTTATTTAACAGTGCTTTCAGTAGTTAGACTGTGTGGTATCAAATGGATAGATGAATGAGAAAGGATTTTAATGGAAGTGGTTGAGGCCTAATCAAGGTGCTTTCCTGACATTTGCCTGGCATGTCTGAAGAAAACCACAAAATCTACAATCAGTATAGCTGGTGTCCTAGTCAAGATTCAGACTGACACCACCTGAATAGAAGCATAGAGTATTGTCACGTGTTGCCCACTTCTGACACCAGTGTTGCGTGTTACCTGGTAACCTAATTCTGTTTCACAGGGAATGCAACAAATAATTTTACGTAGGTTTCGGATTCAGCGATTATTTATTGAACCCACACTTTTACACAATTACAAGTACAGTTATTAACCACTAATTCACTGTTACAATCGCTTCTTGCACCACTAATCTCGGTGAAGAGTTCTGTTCCCTTCCCCTGGTGAGAGTTGGCTTTGGCTCTTCTTGGCACTACACTAAGAACTTCATTTGATGGTGAGACTCTTAAGACTCCAACTTATACTGAATACTCAGTCCTCCTGAATAGTGTTCACTGCTCCTTATATAGGCTCAGCACACGCAACATAGAGAACACATTGCTGCTCAGCAACATATATCAGGTATTGTTGTCAGGTGTGTCTGCCTACACCTTGCCTAGCAATAGATGCCCTAGTGTTGCGTGACATCACAACCTAGCGGGGAGGGGTGTTTACCAAGCGTTGTTATGCAATGAACACTCGTTGCTATGGATATTCCTACGCAATGGTCTTAACAATTTCCATTGTTTCATTGCTCAGTGATGGATGACATATAACACGCCACAGTATTATCATTACTCCAGTCCATTTGGTATCCTTTGAGTCTGATATAAGAATTATCTTGCACTGTGAATTTCTTTGGAAATTATGAATTTGTGAGATTTGCCAAGTGTTCTAAAAGACATGGAATTCTGCAAATGATTGTAGTGAAACTATACATTTGTTTTTGATTTTGCTGACAATGTATCATAAAGGCTTGCAGGAAGAAGATGAATATGCATGTTGGCAGTTGGTTATACATGTAGTAATGTTGTAAATATTAATAGTTACTTGGGTTACCAGTTAATGTGCAAGTACCCATTTTTAGCATCTTTCCTTATTTTGAAAAATTAAAAGGCGGTTTATGAGATCACCTTGCTCTCTATGTGTCTGTCTCTCTCTTCCATAATTTTTTGTATTCTTTGCATTCTGTATTGTATCAAAGGAAAGTAGATGATTAATTCTTACCAGAACTTTTTGTATTACTATGGCTTATCTCCTATTGTGATGCTTCTGTGTGGTGTAGGGCACAATTTATCAGTGGAATGGATACTGATTTCTTTTGCTGTTGTGCTAACAGAAGCTTCAGGTTAACAAATTTATATACTCTGTTGCAGGATCGCTTGAATAAAGTTCACCAGCAAATTGCAAAGGAACAGTCCAGGCGAAGAGCACTGTTAGAGCCATCTCCTGTGGCCACTCCCCTTGAAACTACAAATCCTTCCATTCAATAGAAGCATTGCATCTGAACATTTTTCACCATTCTATGGAATAACTTCATGTATAAATGTTTTATAAACTTCCACCATAGTAATTCATTCATTACAGTGAGTTATAAGACTGGGATGTGGTTACGTGTACAAAGATTGTGCTAAGAGATATATCAGATGAGTATGTCAAAAAGAAATTTTATTTTGTTAATTTCTTCTGATACATTTTTAATGAGGAGCTAATGTGCAGTGAGATTCCTTGATACATGCAAGAACCTTTTGTGTAGAATTTGCTGTAATATAAGGGAATGAATTGTACAGTGATGGTGTGGCCAATGAGCAATACAAGCCAAAATTGAGTTCACTTCAGATGCTTCTTGCACAAGAGAGATGTAATTGAGACATTCCTTTTGTTTCATTATGTTTGTTATTGTTGTGACCCTCTTGTTGCGTGTAGCATACAAATGGACCCATGTATTTTCAGAATGCATCTAAATTTAGCACATTTCAGCATAATAAACAGTGGAGAAAATGAAATTTGATTGTACTGAGAGGATAGATTATTTACATAATATCTGTCAAAATTGAATGCAAATTTTAAGCAGTATTTGTATAAATTATACTTTTTTATTTTGTGTAAGCATAGTTCTGTCATATATTTCACTACTGAAGAAAATTTAACTGCCATAGTCAGTATGGATACTCCCTCGTTATCTCATCTGTCTGTGAAAGATTATGCCCAGATCTATGAACCAGCAGAAGACAGTTTCCTGCTCATTGATGCACTGGAGCAAGACTTGATATTTCTTCAAAAGATGAAGCCGTCTGTGTGTGTTGAGATAGGGAGTGGGTCCGGAGTTGTTATTACCGCAGTAGCTAAGGCTCTGGGTACAAACAGCCATTGTATTGCCATAGACATTAATCCAGTTGCGTGCGGGGTGACACAAAGAACAGCACAATTGAACCACACTGAAGTGGAAGTTGTTACTATGGATTTGATGTCAGGATTCCACTGGGACAACAGAATTGATGTGTTGATCTTTAATCCACCCTATGTAGTAACTCCATCTGAAGAGATTTTGGAGAACAAAGTATATGGAGACATTACAAGAGCTTGGGCTGGTGGGGAGAGAGGACGAGAAGTAAGTACAGAATAACAAGAATGGTAAAGTTTAATTGTAGCATATGAGGTGCTATTGGAAGGATCCCGGACTATTATTGTTGTAACTGCCTCGATGAAAGAAGATGAGAGGTGAAGGCAAGGTCACACTTCTACAAGGCTGTTGCATCAGTCTGCCATGTGACACTGCACTCTGAACACACACTGTTTTTACACAAGTGCTTTTTTCATTTTGTGTTTCATTTTGCTGCGATGGATGGCAAAATTGTGTAATGTGTCTGGATCACGTTCTGTGTGAAGCTCGGGAACTCCACTACCAAAACCCTTGAAATGCTTCTTGAGGATATTTGAGAACATTCCTTTAGCTGGAAAGCAGTTTTTGAATAGCGTTCACGTTTCATGGCTGGTCGAGTGTCAGTTGAAGATGACGGGTGTTCAGGGCGACCAGGCACCAGAAAAATGACAAAATATTAATAAAATTCAAGATCTCATCCACAAAGATCATTGCTGAACAATCTGTGAGCTCATGGATGCCGTTGGGATCAATGATGTAGTTTGCCAGGAGAAAATTTGAGCATATGCTGCATTGCTTCATGATGATGACATGCCTGCTCATACATCCCTGAAAACCACAGAGTTTGTGACCAACAGCAACAACAACATGGTTATCATTCCATATCCTCCCCACTTGCCAGACTTTGCCCCCTGTGATTTCACTGTTTCCCAACTTGAAAATGAACCTAAGGGACGTTTTGAAACAGTGTCTTGACATCCAAAGGGAATTGCAAGCTGTACTCAACAGCATTAAGGAAATCAACTTCCACAGTGCTTTTGAAGTTGGAGAAAACCGACGGGATCACCATGGACATTCCCAAAAAGCCTATTTTGAAGGAGATAGCAGCCACAGTTGAGTACGTTAAGCCAGCATTTCTTTTTTGACCTAGTCTGGGAACTTTCCGATTGCACCTCGTATCATTGCATTTCAGTTAAAACAATCTTTATTTTTGTTTCTATCCACATCAATGTAAGTTTTATTTAACTGTGGTTATAAGTTTTGGGGGGGAGCTGCGATAGCATAGTCCATATAGCGACTGGCTACGGGCTGGACAACTGAGGAGTCAGAGTTTCAGTTCTGATATGGTCAAGAATTTTTTCTTCTCCATGTTGTCCAGACTGGTTCTGGGGGCCACCCAACCCAACCTCCTCTCCAATGGGTATGGGGGGGTAAAGCAGCAATGGTATGAAGCTAACTACTCACTTCCATCTACTTGTAGTGCCAGTGTCAAGAAAATGTGGGTCTCTACATTCACTTCCCCATACATCTTCATGGCATAGTTCTTACTTAGTTAAGCACAGGGACAACTTTACCTTTTATCTCAAAAATTACATTAGATACAGCATCCTCAACTACAATGCATGCTTGGGCTACCACCACTTCAAAAGTCCAGCGTGTAAAGGTTATTATCATGAAGCAGTACTTACATGGGCACAGGTAGGCACTGCAGTTGGTGTGATTTTAATCATGCTGCTGCTTCTACACTTCTCCTGCATTTTCTTCTTCCTCCTCCTCCCCTTCTTCTTTACGGAAATAAATACTTTATAGTTATTCCAAGAGTCATATGAAAAACGTAAAGACACTCTCTGGCCAAATGACAGTATTTTTTATGTTAGAGCAAATGATATGTATAGTGTTATATTTTAGCGTCCTGTTGCACTGATTTAAGTCCATGATTTATTTCAACCGTCTTCCAGTGCATACACTCATCTATCTCCTCCTCTCACTCGCACTATATGTTTTGGCACGAAAGTGCCATCTTCAGGTGCTTATTCGATTTACGCTAAACTAGTTCATTGCATGCCTTGTCGTCTTCATATTAAAATAACTAAAATATATATTTATCATATATATTGATAAATGTTAAATGTTAAAAATATTAAACTTGTTCAGGATTTTTCATCCCTACGTCGTATCTCACTACGCAAGTCACANATCAATATATATGATAAATATATATTTTAGTTATTTTAATATGAAGACGACAAGGCATGCAATGAACTAGTTTAGCGTAAATCGAATAAGCACCTGAAGATGGCACTTTTGTGCCGAAACATGTAGTGCGAGTGAGAGGAGGAGATAGATGAGTGTATGCACTGGAAGACGGTTGAAATAAATCATGGATATGTATAGTAACTACTGTTTGAACCTTCAAATATGGGAAAGCCATTATTTTGTTACTTTTATTGTTCCTGTGGAATTTCCTTCAACAGAAGTATATATTTTTCAGTAGTTCATAATTTGTCAAAATTGTGAAAGACTGAGGAACTATGTGGAGAATTGTTTTTGTTAGTGCATTTTATGTATAGCAGAGTAAACAGTTATTACAGATTCTGGACATTCATGTGACATGACAAAGACAAAACAACTCCGTCCAGTGTGACTATTTAAGTTTTACCACTTGGAAACTTAGCACCCTTACATGTTTCAATCCTTACAGATCTTCAGAGGGAATACTGATACTTATTTGGAAACTACTATCACAGTAGGTGTTCTGAGTGCTAAATTACACACACACACGCACACGCACACGCATGCACACACACACGCACGCACACACAACACACAAACACGCGCGCACACGCACGCACACTGCCTGGAATACACAGCATACACAAAATCAATTTTTTTCATAATCACAGCAGCTTTCCTGGTATTAAAGGTTTAAAAACTTTGTGACGGACCAGAATGAAACAAATCAAATGTGACATGATATTGTAACAGTGAAATTTAACTTCATTTACATATTTTGCACCCTGTTGTGTATGATTATGTCTTTACTGTGTAAATTTGTCTGTTGATCACAACAGTTCTACATTTCAGTGAATAATTGACAGGCTCAAATACTGATAAAATCAGTTACTTTCTTAAGATGTTTCATATGTGCTGAATGTTTCGGTCATTAAAGAACATTATTAGGCATTTATAAAGAGTAAAATGCATTTACCATTCATTAATGGACATGTCACAATGGATCCATTGCTGTTAGTTTTGCCATGCACAAGCTTTTATCTAGAATTACAGTATATAAATATATTGAAATATTTATTTAAATTTATTGTTATTCCCTAAATGTTAACCTGTTCTGTATAGAGTTTTTTATGGGTGGGATGGAGTAAGGAAAATGGTGCATATATTCTGCAAATAGTGTGTTTACAAAACTTTGCCCTTTATGAGGACGTGGGTACTATGTGAGTGTGCACTGTTGGTGCTACTGGCTGCATGTGTCTTGTTTTGGGTGAAAATGGGGTATTTCTAATGTTCTATGGAACCAAAAGGTTCATTACTGTGTTGACCACCAATCTCTATACTGAGTCAGATTAATCCAGTTCATGCCCTTATCATATTTCTTTAAGATCCATTTTAATATTATCCTCCCATCTACATCTAGGCCTTCTGAGTGGTCTCTTTCCTTCTGGTTCCTTCACGCCTACTATTATTTCATCCCTTTTGTGTCCAAATATCCTCAGCAACCTGTTCTCAAACATCTTCAGTCTATGTTCCTCCCTTAATGCCAGAGACCAAATTTCACACCCATACAGAACCACAGCAAATTATACTTTTGTATGTTTTCAGTTTTACGTTTTAGACAGAAGAAAACAAAAGATTGTGGACTGAAGGGTAGTAAGCATTAATCAATCAATCAGTTTATTTGTTCTGAGCATCCATACTTGGAGATACAGCACATATACACGGTGCCAAATCCCAGAAGACTGCTTTCTTCATAGTCACCGCTGTGAAAGCCTCAAATCTTACATTTTCTTTTATTGATTTAGTGAGGACAAGATATTTGTCATAACATAAAATCATAACACACTCACTTCAGAATTTTAGGGACATGTTTCAACAGCAAGGATTTTAAGTCCCTTTTAAAAAGAGTTAACTTTTTTTTTAAATTTTATCTGCTCAGGGACTTTATTATACAAGGCATTATTCATATTTATAACGCTTTTCTTAAAAAGAACTGTTTTGCAATGATTTACATGTAAATTTAGTTTTCTTCGTGTGTTGTAATTATGGATGTCCACATTTTTTGGGCAATAAAGTCTATATTTTTTAATAAAACATATCACTTCAAAAATGTATAGTGCTGTCAGTTAAAATATTATAATCTTTAAAAATACCCCACTGATAATTCAAAGACCTTTTTTTGCGGTTTAAAGAGTTTGTCACATTCGTTATCGCCTCCCCATAATATAATACCGTACTGCAGACAGGACTCAGAATTTTAAAAGTAGATATTTCTTATCATATATGGGCTCAACGTTTCTTTTAATGTTTTTATCATATAAACTACTTTGCATAGCTTAGCTCTTAAAAATCGAGCATGGGTGCCCCATTTTAGGTTTTCTGTGATGTAAATACCTAAAAATCTTGGTTCTGATTTATAGATAATTTCTAAAGTTTTAAAATCTATTTGTGGTCTTAATGGAACTCTCATTTGTTTTGGATGAAATGACATAGCAAATGTTTTTTCAAAATTTATTTATTTATTTATCAGCTCTTAACTCTTTGACTGGCGCGAAGGGTATTTAAATCCCACCCCTGTCCTGGCAGGCCATTTAAACCTTATGTCGCTAAAATGCATGTAGTTACTTTTTCCTAAACAACTTCAACAAAAATTGGTTTTTAAAAACGAAATTTTCAGGAACTAATTAAAAGACAATATTTTATGCAATAAATGCCCTTCCATACCTCTTTATTAATTTTTCTTCGTGTGATAAACATTGAAACATGAAAGTTTGCAGAGAGCCACACCACAGCCTGCACACATGATACTTGTTTCTTTTCTAATCTTGTGCTTAGCACTCACGCGACACTTTCTCAGGGCACCATTCTTCTTGTTACTGGGAGGAACATGGACCATTTTGTGAATTTTCAGGCCACCCTCTAGACGATTTACTGGCTCTTTCACTGGTGGTCTTTTCAAGGTCGAGGGCGGAGGCGTGACTGCACTCTAGTCTGACGCAATAAATTCGTCATCCACTTCATTCCTTGACTTTTCTCCCTCTCCACACTGTTTGTTTGGTTCAGTCATTTTTCTACACAGTCCAATATAAAATCTTTGAATCTGTAATTTCTCTTCTTGTATTTTTCGTTTGTTGTGTTCTTTTTGAATAGAATGAAACTGTTCAACCGCAAAGATATGTTTTGTCCAAACCATGGGTGTGAAATAGGGGCCTAGTGGACAAATATTCTTCAATTTCAGGGCGTTTGTCGATTCCTGTCATGAACACAATTCCTAAGTATGTCCAGATTTCATCTGATGTGACATAATTGTAATTGTGTTTTCGAGAGTGAGGAGCTAACTCATGTGTGTTGAAGTGCTGGTGAGCATAGCGATTGGTTTCAGTTGTGATGTGATTTACCAAGTCGTCATCCAGAAAAAATTTTAATCCATGAAAAGGGATGCATTTTATGTGTTTTATCAATTTTGATCCCGAAACTACTAGCAAATGGAAATATTGGGGGTACAATGTCTCTGTATGTTCATGACATGGGCGTGTCAGGCACCGCACTCGTGGTAGGTAAATGTTCATGATTACTGTCTTGTGGATCATTGTCTATCACTGTATTATTGTCACTATCAACTTCATCTAATTCAGGAATCATTATTTCATCGCCACTATCATCATCAGAACAAATCTCGTTCACAACATTTTCCAGCTGGTCTGTAGGAACACGAAGACACTTGCTGCAAGAAGCCATGATGAAACTGAATGAATGTGAAATATTTTCTGACCTTTTCCTTTTAAGAGGGTTTTGACAGTAATATAGACCCCCACAAAGTTTACAAGGGTTCTTTACAAACATGCACAAAAACTATCATATATATGTCTTTGGTTGATGAGTGCCAGGAGAGCAAAGAAGGGAAGAGATTGTCAAAGCGTTAAAACACGCCAACGCCAGGGAACGGCTGGCATAGTCCGGGTGTTAAAACACGCCCGCACCAGTCAAAGAGTTAATTTGTTACTGCTGTGTAAGTGTACTGTAGTTTAAGTATGCCACAGTTGGAATGAATTGAATAAGCAGTTGCAGACAGCCAGCAAGGGGTAGTCCTCTGAGTTGAGGACTGGGCATTGAATTTAAAACTCATGACTGTAAAAATGCAGCTTCTTACAGAATGTTACAAGGGCCTCAGTACAAAGACATTGGAGAAATTAGAGACTGAACTACCAACATAGTTAGCTCTGCTTTACAGTGCAAATTAACCTTGTCCTGTCAGTAAACTGTATAGATTAATATGTTTAATACATATATAAGTAACATGTTTCAGCAGTTAAAACAGCTTGTGTCATGTGAATCAGTGTTTCAGAGGAACTTGCTGCTTCCATGTTCAGTGTAGAACAGTGGATGCAACAGTTTCCTCTGCAATGTGAGGTAGAGACAGGACTGAGAGTGCTGCATATCATGAATGGAAATGGCCAGAATCATGTGTCATTTATTCACGGTATCCGTGTAAAATGAAAATGAAGTGATTTAAGTTTTAATTGTTCTTTTCTGATGAGGCTACTTTTGGCACAGTTGTGTGTCACAACCAAAGAAAATTTGCATGTGGCAATATAAATTCTGTTAACAGATGAGGGATAACAATGGTGGTCTGTCTTCCAGAGATGTTATTAGATTTTTACTTAATGACACATGCTACTTACAGATCGAGAAAAAAAAGCCAATGTTTATAAAATGGACACCAATAAAGACTGTTACATGCAGCAACATGGAGCACCACAACAATGCGAGAGTTTTCTCAGTGCTCATTTACCTCAAATATGGCCTGACATTGAGGAAATGAGGAAAATCGACCTGAATCCCATGACCTAAATTCACTAGGCTCTTACGCATGTGATACTACCACTGTACATGCAAGAATGGACCATTGCTAAATAAGCTGAGAAATACATGAGATTGAATTCAGTTATGTGGCTATTTTACCTGCATATGTCTTCAAGTGTGCCAACAACAATGCATTTGCTATTTATGAGTGCATTTTGAACTTTTTGCAACTTTAAGATAAGGAAAATAGCCAATTTAATGGCTTTGTGGGGCTCTCTTGTCAACGTGTGTGTGTAGTCTTGTCGCTACTCCTATGACAACCCACTTCTTCGGAACAGTTTGTTGGCCCTGAAAAGGACCGTGGCTGCTGAGATGATTGACCGGTGAGGTAGCGCGGCGCGCGCCGGTGAGGAGAAAGGCTAGTGAAAGGCGAGTGGCCTGGCCGCAGTGCGGCCGTGGCTGGAGGTTGCTTGGTTGCCGTGCGGCAGCGTGAGTTGGAGGTTGCTTGATCGCAGTGCGGCAAATGGCGGAGGTTGCTGCTGGTGGTGAAAGGCTAGTCGAGCGCGGTCGTAGGAGCCGTGAGGCAGTGGCTACGCCAGATGGCCAGTGAGTCGAACCGTAACACGACCACCGGCGAGTCCAGGCGCTGTGCCCCAGTGAGTCGGGTGTGAGAGCGCTGGAGGGCCGAGGCAGTCGTGCCTGGCGCAGCCTGCCGATGTCTCCGAAGACCGAGCGCTGGCGACGAAGCCTGCTGGCTGAAGTTGCTTGATGTGGCTAGCTTGTAGACTGGTGATGTACTGAATTAAACTGCATAACTCTGCTCTTTTATACACTGGCCGGTGGGGCGGAGCCAAACTCGAAAGTGAGGAGGAAGAATTGATTGGCTAGCGCGCGTAATGGTGTAGACGCGGGCTAGCGCCGAGCGTAGTATAAATGCGATCGTTTGAAGCAATCTGATTGGTTAGCGCGCGTGATGGCGAAAAGTGATGTGAAGAGCGAGCATTGCAGAAATGCGTGATAATGTGGGATGTTCCCACAGCTTAAAGTGAGATTTGATCTTGTGGTATCAAGATTGCAGCCTTCTGGGGTGTGACTCCATGCAGTTTGGTAGATAAGTACCAAGAGATTGGAGGAACCTGCTGCCTCCATCTTCAGAACATGAGTGTAAGTGGCAGCAGATTCCTCCAAAACATGATGCCCATCTACTATTCACTTCAGAATTCTCAGAAGGCTGTAATTTTTCTTGATTCCAGTGGCCTAACTTCATGAATGGGTATTGATGAAATACGAGATTTGAGGTAACCGTTGTGAATATCAAGATTCCTTTCTTCTGAGATGTGGCACTATGTAGTTTGGTAGAGAAGTTTCAGAAGGATCTGTTGGTATATATCACAACAGTCTTTTAATGGCTCTGTATTGCAGTCATAAAGAATTAAGCATACACTTTTATGGAGAGACTATATAATTAAATATTCGTTTTCTGTTTTCTGGCTTTTCTGTTGTCACTATTGTGGAACATTTTCTAGAGTTGGATTGTTTTACATTTCTCCAACAGGTTATGGATCGACTATTTCCGATGGTTCCAAATCTTCTGAGTCTCTATGGTGCCTTCTATCTGGTTGTAATTTCAGAAAATTGCCCTGATGATATAAAACGTGTTATGGATGAACTGGGTTTTGATATGAACATTGTTAAGGAGCGTAAGGTCAGAGGTGAACATTTACTGGTTTTAAAATTTGTTAGAAAATAATTGTAGAACAGTGGTTTATGCATTACTGTATTTTTTATTAAAGTATAATTGATTACATTGTTTGTCTTTTAATCTTTACCTACATGAAGACAGACCTTGAATAGGGTCAAGTGGTATGGTAAATCCTTTGACATTATGGCATGGCTGATGGAAGAGGTGGCCTCAAGATATCAATAGCTATAAATAAATTCAGTGATATGCATACTAGCCTCTGCAGGTGACCAGGATTAACCCTTACTATGGCTAGGCCAATTCTAGACCACAGCACAACTGCCACATACATAATCATGGGCCTTACTTTCCCTACGTAAAGCCACTGCACAATTCTTGGTTTAAGATGCCAGGTCTTACCAAGAATTCTATGACATAGCCAAAACAAAGAGTAGGCTTCACTGATACTTTGCTTCACATCCACCAAATCATTTTAGTCAGTTTAATATACAGGATAACTGCAAACATTTCACCAGCCCACCAATGTGCAGCATTGTTTAGTGGAGTGGATGCCATGAACCCTTCTATTTTCTTTCTGTTAGTGAAAAGTTCTGTCTCATTGGGATTGGCAGACCAAATAGAGTAGGTGTTTCCTGTGCCCTCGCCTGAGGATGGAAACACACCCAGTTTTGAAATTGTGGTCTTTAGAATACTGGATGGTGGATGAAGTCAAAATAATTCATTAATCCCAAGAGGTTAAATGTCAGTAAATTCACTGGAAACTAGTGGTGAAGAGGAAGGCCAGAGTGTGAAAAGTAAAGTTGTCCCCATGCTTAACTAGTTGAGAACGTTGCCACGAAGACATACTGCGGAGTGGATGTATAGATTCATGTATTCTTGGCCTTGGCAATAGTTGGAGGTGAACTGAAGAGTACAGCTTCTAGGTTGTAACGTCATGTTTCAGAGGAACATCGCTGTCCTCTTCAGCCCTAAAGATGCAGGCAATATGTCCCTCCAGAATTACATGACACTATAACACAGAAGACCACACTCATACTGCCATGAGACTCTCATCCACATAATAAAACAGTTTTTCAGAGAACTTTTGTCTAAAAACTTATTAGAGATGGAAAACTCAATCAGCATTCCTCAGCACCCTAATTTTTGGTTTATCATTAAGACTAAATGCATTATTTATACTGTGACATATGGGCCCTTCCTATAACAATAGAGGCACATCCATAAACATTCTCATGGCAACAGTACAGGCAACAATAGAATAACTGCTGTTTCTATGCGATGGCCAGCAAACACCCCCCACCTTAGGAACATGACAACAATATAGGGTAGCAGTTCACAATAAGACAAGGGCCCGGTACTGGGCCGCAGCCCGGCAGTTGAGAAACCCTGATATAAGGGAAACTTTCCTATGCGGCCTGTGCCAAGGAAACGTATGGAACAAGAGCACATCTGTTGCTAGGCAACGAAGCTGTAAACACATATCCTTAACAAAATAAGATGGTATTTTCCGTGGGGTCCGTGCAGCAGAGTTATTTTGAAGACACTCAGCACTACAAGTCAGTTCTCGGTAGGAAATGGGAAGTTCGTAGTAGAAGAAGAGTTAGAAGTCAGCCTGTGAAGACTTAACATGTGATTTGAAGACTTTATGTGTGCTATAGTGCAGTGATATCTGGAGTGTGACAGTTATAGTTGCTGTGTTAAAATCTGTTGCCAGGAAACATTTGCCATTGTTTAGATATGTTACCTAGCAATGACTAGTGTAAGCAGATATAGAAGACATCATTTATGTGTTATAATTACAGTAATCTTGGAAGTGTTACAATTAATTGTAGTTATGAACTGTAAGTGGTCAATAAATCCAATTAACCAATCCAAAGCCCCTCTTTAGTCACTGATACATGTGACATTTTGGTGTCAGAAGTGGGATGTTCAGATCATATTGGATTCATCAGCCATTACAACCATAAACTACATGACACTATTTTTAGTTAGCAATGTTAAGAGATACAGATATATTATTTTTAAGCGTAGGAGTTACAAAAGTCTGTATCTAATAACACAGGCATATAGCCACCATTTTATTCACATGGATTATCAAATATTCATATGGGGAGCAATCCAAATCACAGTAACAATATTTGTATTCCTGCATACCCTCCTCCACTGCCTTCCATCCACTAGAAGTGAAGCCAGTATTTATTGAGCAAGAATCGGTCTGTCTCAAGGAGATGCAAAATGATGAAAATCAAAAGCATGTTGACTGTAGCAACCATTCCTAGTCAGAAAGGGGGTGGGATTGATTTTTAAAATTAATGTGCAAGGGTGCTGTGGTGGTTTTGGATCACAGTAACTTTACTTCGTCCACAGGTTCTTTATGAACGTCATCTATTGAAGAAGATGAAGCATTTCTGAACTGCTGGGATATCTTGGACATTAATAACAGAGAGTTACGAGTGAAGAAAATAGGGCTGCAGTGACAGTGTACAGTGATCACCTAGCAGATCAAAGCATGGTAAAGTCAGAGCATCACTGCGCAGTCTCCACCCAAGACCAACTGCTTAGGATTTTTAGGATAATAAATGACCTTTCACATTTAACATGGAGGCATCACAATTTCCATGAAAGTCTGCTGTGAAGGAGAAGGCCTAGAAACTTGATGGGGCAAATGGCAGGGCTCTGTTGAGTGCAGAACCTGTAATTGTGTGAATGGTACACACTGGATCTTCATTGCAGAGTGGATACAAAACCATATCCATGTGATAACCACTACTTAATGTCCTGTATGGCACTATTTGGTGAGGAATTAAACAAACTAAACACATGCTCATGAAGCATGAATCATTTCAGCAGCATTTACTGACCGCCTTCAGCTCAAGTCATTCTAAGCTCATATCAAGGCTGGTACTACTCAGCCAACAGCAGGATGTCCTTGGCCACTAGGCAGGAAGTGACAGAAGCATTCGTGTGCTTTGGAAAATGCAACGCACATTTGAATTCATGGAAGTGGTGTATGTACACAGCAATATATGTAATGTTAGTCAAAACTGTGAATAAAAGTACAAGTTTTCATAACAAACATTAAACTTAGAATTTCACATTTGAACTCAGAGCACCTTGATGAAACTGATGTATGTTACAGTACCTTTAAGTATCTGGGTATCCAGATCATGAATGCCACCAGCATCTTTCCCAAGGAGGGACAGCCAGAAAGCTTGCTTACGAACTTGCAGTTGTCATTCATTATTATTTTTAGACTGCTCCAGAGCTATGGGGCTCTATATTGAAACAAAGATGGTACCACATGTAAAAATAACTTAATTTTTGGAATTTACATTTGATATTGTAATGTGAATACCCATTGCTATGTAACAGCTAGGTAAATATGTTCTCACAGCAGCAAATGTTAAGAAAGGTATTCCTGTGACAATAAAACAATAGAGGAATTGCTAGGAGATGATGTTCTCAGTGTGTTTTCTGTGCATGGTTCATGCTGAAGGTTTACAGAGGACAACAAAGGACATACGAGTATGCAGTCAGTCATAAAATGAGAAGCAGACTGAAGAGAGGCCTCAGCAGTCAAGCTGAGTGTGAGCTGTAATAATTGATTGTAACGGTAAAAAAGTGCCAATAAACCCAATAATCAAATCAGGAAATATGTGTAACGTTTTATGTACTACCTGTACCATCCCATCCTTGTGTATCTTATCTTCTTCCCCCTTTTCTCCCCCTTAGCCCTCCTCCCTTCACTTTGCCCCACATGCCTGTTGTCCAGGGATTCAGATCCTACTAGCAGTTGGACACATCTTTCCTGGTTCCTAAACTTCACTTGTTCTTGTTTGGCTTTGGAATTGCTTCTGGGTGAATGAGACACCCTCTTCTATTCTTAGGATCTCCTGCCCACTTTTCCAGTTATCATCATTGTTTGTGTTGTTATTTAGATGCCCAGCCATTGACGTAACTTCAGTCTTTCCAAGTTGTGCTCTTGACCTGACCACCTAGCCATTCCATGCTCTTGCACTGCCCCTTGCCCTTGAACTACCGTTGCCATGCCCCACTTTACTGTGCCCTTAGCAATACCTCAACCCTCCCATGCTGTGTCCATGGCCTAATGACCCAACCAAACCTTGACTTGCTCTTGCACTATTCTTGCCCTGACCTGCCTTTGTTGTGACCTTGATTAGCCCTTGCCATGCCCTGCAGTTTCTGTGTGCTTTCTGGGCCCTTACACTGCCTTAGCCAGGTCCTTGCAGTGCCCTTGCTGTGCTGTGGTGTACAAGAAATTGCAAGTTCCATTAGTAAAGGCATCTGTACTTCTAGAATGAGCCACTCAGTATTGCAGGGTTGGCAGTTGCATTTGTGGAAGTAACAGTTCATTATACAGAAATAAGGGATTTTTAATCAAGTGTTGTATCGTCACCTCCATTTTAACTCTGCTATAATCGTTAGTTTAAACACAGAACTGGACCAAATGAATGTAACAATGGAATGATGTAACACATGACAAAAAAGGGTTGATTAATGTAATTGTTGTCCCCAATTTCCAGTATTGCCATGGCACCTTGAGTACTTAATTTGCATAGCAAATATTTTTAAAACCCATAATGTCACTCGTATTTGTCACTGTGCCAAGAAATTCACACATCATATGTACATCAGCTCATTAGAATTGTTTTAAGTGGAGGTGAGGAGCCACAAACTTTGCCTACAAATTTAATATTTAAACCATTTGAGAATATTTGTCCACATCGCCCTAAGGTTGTGGCACTCTATATTAAAAGAAAGATGATGTCACTCTTAAAAATAATTTAATTTTCTGCTGATAAATTGCTTGTTACTTTTTAAAGTCTGGATTAGGGTGAAGATGGACAGGACGAAGAACTAGAATATGTATTTGATGAATTTCCTTAATAACATGACAATTTTGTTACATGCCAATGCCAAAATAGGTACAGAAGATATTTTCAAGGAAACATTTTGGAATGAGAGTTTACACGAAATTAGTAATGATAATGGAGCTAGAGAAGTAAACTTTGCCACATCAAAAAATATTGTCAAAAGTACGATATTCCCACATTGTACTTTCATGAATGTACTTGGACATCTCCTGATGGAAAGATGCACACTCAAATAGACAATATTTTAATGGGTATGAGATGGCATTCAAGTATACATGATGTCTGATCTTTCAGGGCAGCAGATTGTGATACTGACCACCACCTGGTGTTGGCAAAAGTTAGGGACAGGCTGGCAGTGAGTAAACAAACAACGCACAGAGTTCATATGGTGACGTTTAATCTCAAGAAATTAAATGAGGTAGAGGTTAAAGAGCTGTATCGTGTTGAAATCTGAAACAGGTTTGTAGCTTTTGAAAAAGTAGACACTGAGGTGAATACTATTAGGGAGAATATCAATATTTCTGCCAAAGAGAGTCAAGGGCATTATGAACTGAAGAAGCTTAGGTCATGGTTCGATGAAGGATGCTCAAAATTAACAGACCAAAGGAAACAAGCCAAACTGCAGTGGGTACAAGATTAAAGCAAAATAAACCGGTATAATCTGAACAATATAAGACATGAAACCAGCAGGCATTTCAGGAACAAAGAGAGGGGATATCTGAAAGACAAAATTGATGAGCTTGCAATGAACAGTAAGAACAAGAATATTAAGAGACCTGTATAGAGGAATAAATGACTTTACGAGGGGTTACCAACATAGAAGGAACCTAGTGAAGGATGAGAATTGTGATTTGGTTGCAGATTTCCACAACATTTTGAATAGGTGGAAGAACTAGTCCTTTCAGTTACTGAATGTATGTACGTACATGAGGTCAGTGATGCTAGGCAGATACAGATACATGCAGCTGAGCCATTAGTGCCTGATCCTTGCCCTTTTGACGTTGAAATTGCTATTGCAAATTTGAAAAGGTGCAAATTGCCAGGTGGTGATGAAATTCTGGCAGAACTGATTCAAGCAGCTGAAATATTACGTTCTAAGGTCCATAAGCAAAATAATTCTATTTAAAATAAGGAAGAATTGTGTGATCAGTGAACGGAGTCTGTTATTGAAGAAAACAGTCTTCTGGGATGTGGTGCTGTGTTGCACTTTTCGTGCTGGTTCGCTCACAGATTTCGTCTTCTACCCTGAAGATGGAGGCAATACGCTCCGAAACGTCGGTTAACATAATATCTACATGGCGCCACATCCCAGAAGATTCCTTTCTTCATAGTCACAACTGTGAAAACCTCAAATCTTACATGGAGTCTATTATTGAAGAGATCACAAGAAGGGTGATAAAACAGACTGTAGTAATTATCGTGGGATATCACAGCTATCAACTTCATAAAAATTTGTATCCAATATTCTCCAAAGTTAAGTGCTGTGTTGTTTGAACACGTTTATGTGTGTTATTTGTCTGTTGCCTTATTGTAGTACCACTGCCACCGGGTGCAAACCCATTTGCAGTTAAATAATAATTCAATTCATGTTTATTTACATGCAGACTTAACAGCACAGAGGCCAATTACAAAGCTAGCATGAATAGAGAAATACACAAAAATAATTAAAAAACAAAATAAAAAAATGATAGTCTATATTAATTACACAGCATGAATAAGATACAGAAGCAAACATACACAGACAAAGCCACAATGTGAGAATTTGAGTTTCAAATAGAGCACCATACAATAATAATAATAATAACAACATTAATAAAAATAATAATAATAATAGTAGTAGTAGTAGTAATAATAATAATAATAATAATAATAATAATAATAACTATCAACATAAATCAAACCTATCATTGAGAAGTGAGAAAATTAAAATATATACAATTTCAATTTGACTGGAATAGACATGGCAGCAATAAAATATAAAACAATTCAAATTTTAATGGATTAATGTATAAATATAATAATTGATTCCAACTTTTTGTTCATTTACATGTGAAATATGATTGACAGAAACTGTTCCGATTGCAAATATGTCTAGATCTTTACCCACCGCGTTGGCAGCATAGGCGCACCGAATAGAAGGACAGTGTTTATTAGAGGGACAAACACCAAACAATGAGAAGTCCCTAACATTGCCAGGAGGAACATGAAGGCTAACATTTCCCAAAAGAGAAGCATAGGATTTAAAACTACGAAAGACCTGAACAAGAAAAAGTGCATCAAGGTGATGTCTCCGTTTATGTAAAGACTGTAGACTTAATTTCTCTAAAGCATCAGTATAATTATATGAAATATGAGGGAAAAAAACAATAAAAACAGACGGACACAAACTTCTGCTGGATGCGCTCAAGCTTATTGGCATCAGTTGAGGTGATGGAGTTCCAAACTACTGAGGCATATTCCAACTTGGACCTGACTAAAGTAAAATAGAATATATACAGACTCTCCAGGGAGGAAAACCTGTAGGTAATGGAGCGAATAAGGCCTAAGCATTGTACCGATATATTTGTACCTATTCTTAAACATATCTTTAATCAAAGATCTCAGTATTACTTTCCCTCCCTATGGAAGCAAGCAGCAATTGTCCCTGTTCTCAAAAAAGGCAAAAGTACCTCTGTTAGCAATTATAGGCCTATATCCTTACTGAGTAATTTTTCTAAAATATTCAAATTTATTGTTCATGAACATGTTTCCCATTATCTAAAATAAAAAATTAGTCCTTATCAGCACGGCTTCTCGAAAACTAAATCCACAAGCACCAATTTGGTGACTTACGTTGATTTCATCTCCCCTATAGTTGACTCTCAGAGACAAGCTGATGCCATTTATTTTGATCTCAGCAATGCATTCGACCTTGTCCCACATTCTCTTCTTCTTCCTAAGCTTAGTGCTATTGGGCTTTCTGGTGGTTATGTAAGCTGGTTTCGCAGTTACCTATCCAACCAGAAATCCCAGGTCCGTGTTTCTGGTGTTCTTTCCTCACCTTTTGAAGTTCTCTCCAGTGTACCTCAAGGATCTGTCTTGGGACCCCTTCTCTTCAATGTGTTTATTAATGACATGTGCGATGCAGTTGCCCACTCTAAGTGTCTGCTTTTCGCTGATGACGTCAAAATTTACCGAGCCATTAGTTCTCCTCAGGACTGCTATCTACTTAAGTCTGACGTTAACTCCATACAAGGTTGGTGCATTGCTAACTGTATGAAACTCAACATCAGTAAAACTAAAGTTTTATCCTTCTCCAGGAAAACCAACGTACTTATCTATGTTTATAAACTTTGTCAATCGTCAATAGCCCAGACAGATTCTGTAAAAGACCTGGGAGTGTTTACTGAAGCTAAGCTATATTTCCATGACCAGGTCAATTATATATTCTCTCACTGTGCTAAACTGTTGGGTCTAGTTCATAACATTACCTTCAAGTTATCATCTTTCGAATGTATGTTCAGATATCATTAACATTAATATCACCACAGATAATAGCTTTAACATTACTTTTACAAATTTTTGTAAAATCCCATTTTTCCCCAAAAAGTACTATAAATACTAGAAGGAGATCTATATACAGATGCAATACATATTCTATAACTATTAAACGTTAGGCTGACAGTACAAGTTTCAATATCCTTGTCACAGCAGTAACTATCAAGATTAATAGTGGAAATTTTGTTATCACTCTTGGCTTTGCCAACATCACACTTTCTTGATTTTAGAGAATCTTCATTAGTACAAAGTCCCATAGGATTGAAAACTTTGCTATGTATATCCAGGTTAAGATCATCCAGATTATCATCTTTCCATTGAATTTGTATAGGAGCAGTTTTCATCTTATTTAAAAGCTGTTCAACTTACTTGGCCAACTCTAAGGAAAATGTTGACCATGTCTAGTGAAATGTTTCCTCTGTAATTCCACTTCTAAAAACTCAACATGTGCATGTAGTTTGACTATTTTCTTTAGTTGCCTATTAAATTTAGCTACTTCATTATTGACACAAGATGAAAGCAAAAGATCATGTTTAAGTAGTGAGTTTATTAGAACAGTATTTACCTTTTGTTTAGGCTGCGCCATAGCTCAGTGGTTAGTCACTGGCTTCCCATCGCGGCGACCCGGGTTTGATCTCGGGTCTGGTCAAGTGGGATTTGTGATGGACAAAGTGGCGCTAGGGAAGGTTTTCTCCGAATACTTCAGTTTCCCCTGCTAATCTTCATTCCACCAACTGCTCCACAATCACCTTCACCTATCATCTGGGGCTAGTACAATATGCCAGAAATGGCCTCAGTACAAGGGACTTAAACCCGCCCCACTAGCAATAATAAAAAAAAACCTTGTTTGCATTTATGAAATTACATATATTCTTTAGAGCTTCTTTAGTATTTTTAATCGTTTCTTGCATCCTGTTGTGTGTTTAATTAATAGTAGAGCGAATTTACTGACTACAAAACATGTTTTTTATTATCACTACATGTTTCATCCTCAAGAGGTCATCCTCAGGTGTATGAACATGGCTGTATAATTACACGCGGTCACATTCACTTTTCACTCATTCGACCCTGTATCTTATCCAGATTTACGCTTGTTAATATATCGAGTTCTTTTTATAAAACACAGGTTAAAATTATTATTCTAATTTAATTGTTAAAAGTTAAAAGTTTGTGAATCGAAGTTCAATTCATGTCAATTCAATTCTTTAGTATTGTTTCTACTGATATCATTAGCTCCCCCCTCAAAATCACATCATTACACTTGAGTGTGGATACTTCCTCTCCTGCACTTTTAATGATCTCACTAGTAATAGCTCCTGGTTTAACAAAACCAGAAACTTTATACCTGAGATTATTATTATTTATTTCATCCATAGCTGTAGAGAATTACAATTGGACATGTCAAACATCAACATCACATAAAAAATAACATAAGTAAAAAAAAAATAACAACATTCACACAGTGATTCATGACTATAATACAGCAATATTTTTTACTTAATTTAAGAATAATAAATACTCCAAAAAAAGACATAAGAATAAATATTTTAAACATATAGACAGATTTATTAACAAGCAGTTTACGTCAAAAATTAATAATAATATATACTCCAAAAAAGGCATAAAAATATACAGACAGATTTCTCAACAAACAGTCCATGTCAACAATTATTAAAAAATTCTTGAAGAGAATAGAAGACATTACACAACAAATAATTCTTAAGTTTCCTCTTAAAACATAAAAATTTTTAACATTCTTTAATTCATTTGGAAGGACATTAAATATTTTGGTT